GAAGATATTGAGGAAGATCCACACTCTGAGTCTGAGTCATGTTATCAGTATGTCGCAAAGGGAATAAAACCAGAGACAAACTATGAGGAACAAAAAGTTCAAGCCAGATGGAAATAGGTTCATTTGACATCCCGAACCCCTTCAAATCCCAACAGGCTAAAGGAAAAAAATTTTGGCGTCCACAGGGGAATAATTTATTGTGCACTCACTATGGTTATGAAGAAGGGACATTCAAACCAACGTTGCTAATGAGATTTGGGATATCCCAGAATGGTGGGAATTTTAAACAAAGAAAACTAGGCAAAAATTGTACAGGCTGCTCCATAACTCGACACAGACAGGATGAAGAAGTAATTGCATTCACTTCAAATCCAGTGCAAGGCACACGTACACGAAAGCTTGAATCCAGGTCTTCGTAATACTTATCTTGTTTAGGAATAATAACATGAGTAATTGGATACACGCCTGCTGACGCGATCAATGGGCAAAATGATTCTACCTTACCTTTCACTATTCATCCCTTCACTCAAAACCTACATGTTACTCACTTGCTAATGGACGGAGTTGCCCCTCCCGTTATTGGCGAAGGATCAACACATGTGTCGCAGTTCCAATTATCTTGATACTCGTGCTTGTAGTTCCTCTCTTTCTTCCACCTTTTATCTATTGGTAAAAATCACAGAAACTCTAAATTTGGGGTACTGCAACTTTTTTGGCCTAATAAATGTATTTTTTCAGGACATATATAACACAACGATTTTGGCTACTGGTATTACGGCGTGGAAAACTTGTGACTATTTCTTTGATTGGCCCAGCTTCAACGAAAACAAAGAATTGATCAAAGAAATTAACACTAGAGGGCAGTCAAGAAATGAGGATATGGGTTTGGTTATGGCACTGTGCTTGGGTCAATGCTGTCATTTAATTATCTTCGAAAATTAAAACCAAGTTTGTTTTTACATACAAATGCTAATAAAGTTTGATTGTGACGTTTGGTGAACATGGCATAAAGAGTCATAGAAATTTCATATCTCCTAGTTATAATACGAGAGTAACTTCACCCTTTTAGATTAATCACTCTGATTTGGTGGGGACCTGCTCAGATCCCTCCATTACTGGTGCTCGTTATTTTGTGAGTTATTTTGTGACATTTATTGATGAGTGTACTCGCATGATTTGGGTCTATCTCCTACGAAACAAGGGAGAGGTATGTTCTGTTTTTCAGAATCTGTATCGAATGGTACATTCACAGTATCAATGCCGAATTAAAGTTCTTCAATCTGATAATGGTGGGGAGTATATAAATTCTGAATTGAAAATTTTTTGTCAAAAAAATGGTATTCGACGCCAAACTTCATGTGCTGGTACGCCACAACAAAATGGTTTGGCAGAACGAAAAAATCTCCAAATACTAGAGGTTGTCCGAGCTTCTTTATTTGGCATGAAAGTACCTCGAGAATACTGGGGCGAAGCTGTTTGCTCTGCTGCATATCTTATTAATCGGACGCCATCACGAGTCATTGAGTTTAAAACACCACATCAAAAACTCCATGAATTAGTTTCTCAAACATCAGAAAACCATGAACTCTGTTTCCTGCCCAGAATCAGTCCGAACCTGAACATCGTGTTTTGGCTGTACTCGCATAGTGTCTACACCAGGTGCAGGTAAACTTTGATCCAGTCGGAACCTAATCCGTCATGTTTAGCTTGGTAATGCAAACCTCAAAAAGGGATATCGATGTTAGATCCTAATAAGAAAGATTAAATGTATGTAACCCCGCGATGTCACATTCCAATGAAAAATAGCTCCTATTTTGTGGTCATGAAGTGCTCTCTTCAGGGGAGACTACACTTAATTGGGTGACGACAACCTCATGGAATACTTTGAAGAAAAGAAACGCTGATAACACAAACTTTCAGATCCTGTTTCACACAACCTGAAGAAGATGGATGGCGCCCAAAAAGAATCAAGAATAGTACAATTTTCCAAGTCAACATCCAACAGCTCATAGAAATATCATCAGAGTGTCCGATGGTCTGCTCGAAGTAAAACATGCAACTACTTCCATCTCCTTTTAATCAGGATCCAATTCCTCTAGCTCTGACCAAGATATCAATTAGGAAGAAACAGAGGAATTTCCCCAAAAAGGCCCGTCAAAAAAAAAACCAATTTAAAAAAATGCCTGATTTTAATGCTAAGACTAATACCGGGTGCCATTAACAATTATACTCCTCTCCATGCAGTATGTCAAAAATCAAATGCACTTGTTTAAATGCCATTATGCTCCGATATCTATTGCCAAGTAATGTGCAGGAACACATTGGATGGATTCAAAAATGGAAGAAAGCATGAAGTGATGAAATGGAAGCCTTACAAAAGAATCATACATGGGAACTTGTATTGCTGCCTTTGTGGGGCCCAAGAAAAACTGTAGGGGCAGATGGATCCTCACAGTTTAAGCTAATCAAAATGGAATCATAGATCCGTTACACAAGGCAAGGCTTGTTTGCTAAACCGTTACAAGGCAAGGCTTGTTGCTAAAGGGTATACACAAAAGTACAGAATTGATTATGGAGATACATTTGCTCCTGTAGCAAAAATAAATACCATACGAATTCTTATTTCCATAGTAGCGAATCAAGATTGGCCGTTGCGACAGTTCGATGTTAAAAATGCATTTCTGAATGGAACTTTGGAAGAAGAAGTATACATGGATCCTCCTGTAGGCATAAATTGTGGTGGCAAGGTATGCAAACTAAAAAGGGCCTTATACGGATTAAAGCAATCCCCCCGAGCATGGTTTGGAAGGCTATCAAATTTCATGAAGAAAATTAGATACAAATAAAGTGATGCTGATCATACTCTCTTCGTCAAACAAGAGTTTGAGAAGGTAATTGCTCTTATTGTATATGTGGATGACATGGTTGTTACTGGAAATGACTCAAATGAAATAGATGTCCTCCAAGAAAGCCTTGCAACTGAATTTGAACTTAAAGATCTTGGACACTTGAAATATTTCTTAGGCATTGAAGTTGCAAGATCAAGTAATGGAATTTATCTATGTCAGCGAAAATATGTATTAGATTTGCTAGCAGAAACTGGGTTGCTTAACTGTAAGCCCGTTGAAACTCCCATTGAAGTGAATCACAAGTTAGCCATTCAATAAAACCAGATTCCAGCTAACAAGGAGAGATATCAAAGATTAGTTGGGAGGCTAATATACTTGTCGCATACGCGTCCTGACATTGCATATGCGGTTAGTATTGTAAGCCAATTCATGCATACACCAAGTGAAGAACATATGAAGGTTGTTCATCGGATCTTGCGATACTTAAAGTCGCGATACTTAAACGTCTGCCAGGAAAGGGATTATTTTGTCGCTTAAATAACAGGGAGATGAGAGTCAAGGGATATAACACAGATGCAGAATTGGCCTGGAACTGCTGACCGATTCGACAAATCCATCTGACCGATCGAAAATCCACATCAGGGTATTTCACTTTTGTCGAAGGCAACTTAGTTACATGGCGAAGTAAGAAGCAAAAAGTGGTAGCAAGATCAAGCGCAGAAGCAGAATTTCGCGGAATGGCACAAGGCATCTGTGAATTACTATGGATAAAGCGTATTTTACATGATCTGGGTATACATCTGTCAACACCTATGAAGTTATTATGTGATAATAAGGCGGCCATAGCAATTGCAAATAATCCTGTTCAACATGACAGAACCAAACACGTGGAAGTCGATCGGCACTTCATCAAAGACCATCTTGACAAAAATACAATTAGTCTTCCGTTTGTCACTTCAAAAGATCAACTAGCAGATATCCTAACAAAGGCTGTATCCGTAAAAGACTTTCAAAGCTCACTAAACAAGTTGGGAATGATGGACATATATTCACCAACTTGAGGGGGAGTGTTGGCGTGAGCAAATCAAGGAGAAAGAAATGTCAAAGTTTGACAGATTGTGATTGTGAAGAAAAATCTACTGTCAAACTTTGGAACATGAGCAAAAAATAGGATTTGTCAAAGTTTGACAGAATTATGAAGAAAATTGCTGTCAAACTTTGACAAATTTAAATCTTTGCCTTTAATTTAGGCTGTAAATTAGGATCTAAATTGTACAAAACTAGTATAAATATTTGTAATTGCTGGAAAAGTAATTAGAGAGGTGAAACAAAATTGTTCTTAATTATCTTTTCTACAACATTCCCCCGGTTTCATGATTTTGAGAAGGAATCCCCACTATTCGTAACCTTGCATTTAAATGACACAAAGCATATTAATTTGTCTGGTTTAGCTTTTATCATATTATGGGTCGGGCCAGATTTGGACAACTTTTAACAGTCTAGGCCCATTGAAGATTTGAAAGCCCAGCCGTAATCCACAAATTGTCTATTCCTATCGCTTTTAGAACATGCAATTTCTTACTGAAAGCAATCAGAAAATATTAGAAATAACATTTTTTGAACGAAATTAAGAACTCAAGGGATCAAAACCTTTCAGAATGCTCAACAGCGAAGACATTAGAGGATGAGAGAAGAACAGTTGCAAAGACAATGACTAGAAGAAGGAAAGTCTTTGAGCACACCATTTCTGTTTAGGAATACAAGAGAGACAACAAGGGGTTTTGTTCAAGTATTGGATGGGCAAGCAGAGGTTGAAGCTTCTCCATTTATACAATTTTTGGAAGAGAGGAAGAGCACTTAAGTGAGTTATTACTTCACTGATGAATTTCACAAGTCAACAAAATTTTCCATGTTTTTGACAATTTATGTGGCGTTTGTGTTGCGACAATTTCAAGATTGATTAGATGAAGATAATTAATCATAATTTGCATATATAAATAACTTATTAGTTTCCTATTCACTGAATAACATATTTCGTTTGATTTGTCAATTTTCATTTCTTAATTTAATGGCTTTTGGTTAGCATAATCTCAGTTCTTGATCTCTTACTCATGATTTGACAAGGATTAATGAATGCATCACTACAAGACAAAGGGAAGAGTATTATTTTCCATTATTTTTCTTTTATAGAAATTTGTTATTTCAGTGACCCATTTTACATGATAACCTATGAATTCTGATTTCCTACATACCACAAATTACACAAAAGCAACAAATGAAACCAAACTAAAATCAAGTTTCCAAATATCCTGCAAAAGTCCATTTTATTGCCCCATTCTTTTCTCCAAGTAGGCCAAACTAAAGAGAAAAAAAAAAAAAAAAAATAAAAAAAAAAAAATGACTGTTACTTATTCAGCTAGTCCTCCACTTTCTTCCCTCCTCTCTAAGGGACGGCTTCCAAAGTTTTTTTAAACCAAAATGGTCCACAAACAAAAAAAAAAAAAAAAAAAATGAACTGTTAATTATTCAAGCTAGTCCTCCACTTCTTCCCTCTCTCTAGGGACGGCTCCAAAGTTTTTAACCAAAATGTCCACAACCAAAGGCACCAAGTCCTTGCAAGGGACACTTTTCTTATAAACATTTCCCAAATGTGAGTCACTCCCAATTCTCCCTCCCAAGTACACATCCACCCCTTCACAAGTTTTCCCATTTTCATCTCTTGTCATGCAACCCATAAACCCAATATCGGCTACTTGCACCTGCCCACAGGTATTAGGACACCCTGTCCAGTGCATTCTTATCGGCCGAGTCACAGACACTAGCCTTTGCACTTCCTCGGTCACTTTCAAGGCCCTAGCTTTTGTCTCAATTATAGCTTGACCACAAAATTGGTTGCCAGTGCATGCCACTAAACCTTTCATAAGAATAGGCGGCTCTGGTGAGAACTTGTCTTTCAATAAAGGCTCTTTAAGGAAGGCCTCAATCTTTGAGTTCTCAATGTTGGGAATAACAATGTTCTGCTCTACAGTCAACCTGAGTTCACCAGAGCCGTAAGTATCTGCTAAACGAGCTAGTTCATCCATGTCGTCTGCTTCGAGCCGCCCGACCGGTATGTGGAGACCGACATAGCTAAAACCTTCTTGGCTTTGTGGATGAACACCAAAATAGTCTCTCCTTTCCCATTGCTTTTGAACCAACTCTTCAGATGATGCTCTCTCTAGTTCTTGACTTGGCATTCTTTTCACTACCTCAGACCTAAATCCTTCAACGCCCTGCGTTTATACAAATTAAGCTTTACATGCTCAGACAATCAAAGAATTTCTCAAACTCGATTTGCTAAATATGATATGACTTACTCACCAGTTCATCTATCAACCACATCATTCTTGTCTTCTGCCTGTTTCCTCTGAAGCCAAGATCTCTGTAGGCCTCTAGTACTGCCCTGCACACAAGAACCACATCGTCTGCTGGGACCCAAGCATCAAGAGGGATAGCCTCAGCGCATCGCTTAGCACTGAAGAACCCACCTACTAGCAAATTGAACCCAAAACGTCCGTCCTTAGTGGCAGGCATGTAAGCAAGATCATTGATGTGAGGATGTTCATAAAGATCATGAGAACCGACTACACACACATTCCATTTCCTTGGCCTGCAAAGATTGAGAAAAGTTATGAACATTGTATACAAATTTAGCCTTTATCATATTTATGCACATTGCATCCGTAACTTATTTCTCCTCTTCATTTCTCGGGCTTAATAAGTGAATCTTTCCAGCAAACACAGATAATCGGGAATTTAGGACAAATAACAAAACTACAACTTTCACACAAACAATTTAAGAAATTCTTCATAGCTTACCAAAGGCAAAACTTTATGGAAGACACTTTAGCAATTAAGTTGACAAACAACTACAAATACTATGAAAGCAATTTGATAATCTCGCTGCAAAGAGTTTAGATTTCAAAAAGTAACCTGTTCAGTTACCAAATTCAAAGTTTCTCACTAGGAGCTTATTTGGCATTATTGTCTGAGTTGTTATGGCAAACAAGATTAAGTTGAAAACATTGAATATCAGTAATTAAAATTTGCTTTTAAAGTGAATTTCATATGCTCCAATCATAAAAGCTTTAAACCAGCTAAACAAAAGTACAAAAATGTTTTCTTTAACAGCATCTAAAGTTGTCATTTTGCGGCAAAAGCAAAAAAAAGAACCTGGAGGATCTTACAAATTAGAAACAGCAGGATTGCCACGTGAATTGCTAGTGATAAATTGGGATAGCAAGTTATTGTAAGGTCTTGTATCGACAATCTCATCTGGATCAATTCCTGCAAGAGGATTTCCTACGGGGTTTCTCACATTGTCCATGCCACTTTGCAGGCTTGTCAACCCAACTTCAGCGAGACCCTTAAGTATTTCTGGCACATCAGGCAGTACCACACCACGTATTTGCCAGTTTTGCCTGGTTGTAACATCTGCACACCCATCCTTCCCATATTTCCTTATCACACTAGCCAAATATCGGGTTTGTGCACTTGTTGTTACTCCATTTGGTAGTTTCAACCTCATCATAAATCGTCCATCTGATAACAGAAAATTGAATAAATAATTAGCATAGTAATAAATGTAAGTCTAGTTAAATCTTGATTCATGTAGGTTAAGTTTTCCATCCATGAAATCCACTAGTAGATAAAATGATAAATGTAGGATTAAAAGTTTCTATTCTAAAATCAGGATGTTTGCACTTTCTTGAAATCATTATTATTTTGCAATCAGATCGAGCTTTGATCCCTACTTGTTGTCAGAGAATTGCTAGAATTCATTGTTTTGGGTTACAAAGGATTGAAGATGACAAGTGTTTTTCCAGGAATCATAGAACAAAAGATATGTTCTTATTTCATTTCATTTACAGGCTGTTCTGTTTTCCAGACAGAACAAAGCAAAATCACCCACATCTTGTTCCACTTTACTTGTCTATATATGCTTTATTGATTCATTGTCTCTTGAGTCAAAATTCAATTTTCCTAATCCTAATTTTAAAAATGTAGACAGAGTTTGTAAAAATTGCAAAAGAATTCCAAGCAAATTGCATCATGAATCCAACAAGAGAGTTTTTAAATTAGGTAATCCTATGTTATAAACAACACTGATTTCAAAATTGTCTAATTAATTGATTATTATTCAAACCACTCTTCTTTTTATTAATTTAGATCTAAATAGTATTCAAACTGCAAACTTCAAACTTCACAATCTTAAATATGACTTCAGTACCTCAAAAACAAAAAACGAAAACAAAAATCTAAAATTCTTGAAGAAAAACCTCAAAAGAGATAAACAAATGGAAAATATGTTACTCCTTATTAAAAAAGGAAAAAAAAAAAAAAAAACATAAGAATCTACTAACAAAAGTAATGTAATTACTTACAATGGTGCTTCCTTCTATGAAAGAGACCAAGCCACTTGAGTCTAACATCAATATCATCTTTATTATTTTTATCTTGGTCAATTTCTTCCATTGACAATTTAGCAAGCTCTTCAATCCCATTTTCCATGAAAAGGGTCATTGGCTCTTTCGCAATCTTAACCTTTTCTTGAGGATTAATACCCTGTCTATACTTTTCCTTTAAAACCCAATACCCATCTCTCTCCTCCACTCTTGGCTCTAGCCTCTCTGCATCAACCTCCACTGCCTCCACCGGTTGCGCCACCGTTGGACCAGAAAAGATTCTTGTTTTGGGTCTGGTGGAAGTGAGAGAGTGTGATAATGGAGGAGAGAAAACACGAACAGAAGAAAGTGAAGACATTATGGTAATGGAAGAATGAAACAAGAAAGAAGAAGGAATTGTGGTGGCAGTGATCGTAGTAATGGTTGTTGCAGAAGTAGAGAGAAGGCATTTTATGGGGTTAATAAGGGGACCTTAGAAGATGAGGAGAGGAGAGAGTTGTTGTTTTCTTTTTAGAAAGAGACTCTTGGGATGTCTTAAGGGTCACCTCTAGTTGTTTGTTGTTTTTATGCATGTTAATTGTTAGAGGTCAGGGGAGGATTGTTTTGGGGAGGTGGAAAAACTTGGGAGATGACAATTAAGACTTGGATTGATGGTTTCCTCTGTTTATGCATACATTTTTACTTTAATATTCTTATTTTTATTTTTATATTTTATAAACAACTAAGAGTTGCTGTCTGGTAACATTACCCTGAAGAAATTTTAATTATAATAGTCATTGATTTAGCATTTATGCAATGTTTGGAAAGAGGAAGGACGTAAAATAAAAATATAAAGTGAAATTAGTCATTTTTCTCTTAAAATGGGATGAAAATTAGGCTAGAAGGATGTAAAATACTCTTGACATTTTCACCCAATCAAACAAGAGATTTTGCAAATTCCAAGACATTTTCACCCTTCATTTTACAACTATCCATATTTTACATTCATCGAAATAAAGCATTAAACCTTAACTAGTAAATTTAATATTAAAATTTAATTAGCTGAGCAAGTCAACAAGAGGACTCTGTTGCATATTATAAAAAAAAGGTATCATAGTAACAATTCATTTACTAATAAGGTGTTATTTGATTGATTTTTTTAAAAAATTTATAGATTCTCAACATTACATATGATAAAAAAAATAATTTTTTTGTCTTAAAAAGAAATAATTCCACTTTCCATAATAAGTATCCTAAAATAATAGTTTTATTTTTATTTTTGAAAATAGTTTTTTTTTTTAATTTTCTTATAATACCTTATAATATAATTTGTGTTAATAATTAATATACATAGAATTACTAAATTTTTATATAAAGTAATTAGAAAATGTGCCGAACTACTAATTTGTTATTGAAAAATTTTATTAAATTAAATACTTAGTTAAATATAAATATAAAGTAATATAAAGTAATTGAAATATTAAACATTAACCAAAAAATTATTAATATGGGGATGTATATGAAAAAGAATGATAAATATTATGGATGAACTAATTCAATTACGTATTCTTAATCTATGTGAAAAAGAAATAAGAATGTTTTTTTAGGATGTGAAGTAATATAAATTTTTTTTTTCTATTGAAAATTAAGAATTTGAAATTCGAAATAAATTATTTTTAAAATTACTTTATTTAAATATCACATTTGATCTAAATGTACAAGACGTGTGTACAAGACTTTGTGATATAAAAATAAAAAATTATAGAAACATGTGATATATAATTTTACAATCTACGTGTTATTTTGGAATTAAATTGAGTTCATGTGCAAAGAGTTTCAAATTACCGTAACAATAAAATTCATATAGTAATTGTTTTCAATGAAAGAGCAGCTTCTTTTTTTTTTTTTTATTAATTTTCGGTTGTGAAGGACAAGTTGTTGAAAAATGAAAAAGAAATGATTTGAGTGGGTGTTGTTGTTGTTGTTGTTCTTGATGCATCGCAAAAGGCCATAATCTTTATCTGTTATAACCTTCAAAATTAACCAAAAGGCAGAGCCGCCATTATTCCAGGAAATTAAAAAGAAAACTCAAAACATGTGGCGCAGAGACGTAGACCCGTTGATCACTGGGTTTGACCTATTACACCTTCATGTTCCGATGCTCAATCAGATTCTCTGAATTTGTCTTTTTCATTCCTCTCTCTCCTTCTCTTCTCTGCCCCGCTATTAAATAATATCCCACGTCCAACGCTAACACAAATGTACAAACCGAGAAAGAAAATCACATTCTTTATTGACCCAAAAACATAAATTTACTCACTTACCCTTCTGGAAAAATTTTCTAACAACTCCATCGGTACGAAATCCCTATTATGCTCTTGAAATTATAATTTTTTATAATATAGTATTTTTTTCCATATTAGTAATAATAATTTTAATAGGTATAATTTTATGAGTTGAAATATTTAATAGATCAATATAAAAATTGAAAGTACCATAAAATTTTTTATATAAAATATAAGGGTAAATTTATGCATTGGCTCATTTCTTATTATTGCATTAATTTGAAAATATCAAGATAGTGACAGATAAGGTAATTTTATTTTCCTACATGATTTTTATAATTCCCTCTAATGATAGCACACGAAATATTGTGCTATTTCAATCGCCCTCCCTTCATAATACTACTTCCGTCCCATGATACTTGTTATATTTGAAAAATTAGTTTATTTCAAAATACTTGTCACATTTGCAATTTTAATGAGTAATATATATTTTTTTCATATTTACCCTTTGTATATGATCAATAATTATTACTTCAATTTAATAATTTTCTTAGAGAACCAATATTACATTAAAGATAATATAGTCAATTTACTCAATAATTTATTGTAACTTAAAAAAATTTAATGATTTTCTTAAGGAATGTGAAATTCCACATATAACAATTATTATGGAACATATATAATATTTGAAATTGGTTCACCGGTCTTTGTAAAATTTCAAATTCTATCTACTGATCTTCTTGAAATGTGCCGTTGCTTTTTCAATAGAGCACAGATTTAACACCCCTTCTTGTATTTCAAATATGTAATACCCCGAATTTTTATTTTCAAAACTTTCAAATTTTTATTAAATCAAAAATCGCAAAATTTGGCTATGTGGGCTGTAAATACAATACAGTCTCGATTCGAGCCCAAATTTTCGAATTAGGCCCAAGCCCAAAAGAGATTATGCGGAAATTTTCGATTTGAGAACAGATAAAATTTTCAAGAAATAATATGAAACACCAGCAATTAATCTATTAAAAATATATATAAATTAATTATTCTAGAATCAAATATCATTACTATTACTATTTTTATGATTATTGAGCGAATGGAGGAAATGTTTTCTAACCTCCTAACTAAATAATTAAACTAAATCGAACCGAACCTGGGAATCAAATCGATTTTTCGGAAACCACATTTCTAACCTCCTAACTAAATAATTAAACTAAATCGAACCGAACCTGGGAATCAAATCGATTTTTCGGAAACCACACGAATAATCTGAAAACCAAATGAAAAACCTACAAACCGAGCAAGAACTGAGCCAAATCGTTGAATCAGACCAAACCGATTCGAATTGAACCGGAATGATCTAGAAACCGACATACTTTCTTTCTTTCTTTTCTTCTTCTTCTTCCTCCTTTCCTCTCCAGCGTCGACCTCATCCTCCTCCTCCCTCTCCTTCTCGTTTCCGGCCACCGTTCAGCAAGAATGAGGTGGCGATTAACTCGCCTAGCACTGCAGAACACTTTTTCGGCCTCCTCTCACAAGGACGGAACCCCAGCGGCGCGGATCGAGCTTGTTTGCGCCGACAACACCGCTCTTCAATTTTTCCGGAGAATCTCGCCAATTCCGTCGACTTCAGGTGTCGGAGCTGGTCTCGATCGACTCCTCTCCTCCACACGAACATTTCTCCTCCACCGTTGTGCGATTTTGCCTGAGATTTGAGGAACCACCATGGACGGCGGCATGGAGAAACTGTTGGGCTTGTTTCGGCCAAACGAGCCACTGGCTCAACAAATTGATGATAGATTTGGAATCCTTGCAACTTTTTGAGTCGAATGGTGTGATTGTTGTAAATTTCTGAGCGGTTTGACTTTTCCGGCCACCGTGCACGGAGGCGACGGCGACCGGCCGGCAAGACATCAAAAGGTAGAATCTTCCTCTTCTCGTGTAGATTGTGGGTTCGTCATTCGATTTTCAATCGGTACGTTCTAAGACTCAATTCTCAATTTTTGTATATAATTGGTATATAAAGAATTATTGAGTAATTTGTAGATTAAAATTGAAATAATAGAATTACGTTATGGAATACTTAAAAAATATATAGAACATTTAATAGTCTTTTGTAAATAAATTAGATTGGTTAGTGTTGCGGTAATTGCGATAGCGAATTATGATTAAGTTAACTGATTTAGGATTTTAGGAAATAAGTAATTGCAAAATTAAGTTTAGAAGATTGCCAAGATAAATTTACATGAGCCTATAATTATAATAGGGAGGTGTTGATATTGAGATAAGAATCCCTAACTAATAATTTATGTAAGTTAATTTTAGGAATTTTTAAATTTAAATATTGGTTAGGAGAAGTTTATAATTTAAAGTAATAGTTATAGGCACTTTAACAACTATTATTGAATCAACCGCTTGGAGGTTAATTAGTTGAATTATTTAAGTTATTATATGTTGTGATGGATGATATATGTAGCTTGAAGTTGATGGGCTGTCTGAATTGATTGATCTAATGATTGAAAAATAAGGTTATGGCGGACAGGTTGAGTTGTTGTGAATTGCCCGACGGATGGGCTGCGTACATTGATTAATAAATATATAATATTATTGTGATATTTAAACAGATAGGAAGGTAATCCTATTTTTAGGGGAGATGCTGCCGAAATTTCAATAGAGTCTAGACTAATTTTAATTAATAACATAATTAATAAGTTTATTTAGATTAATTCTATAACTTAATACATAATAAATGGAGTGCTCTAATTGTTTTATTATTATCATCATTATTCATTTAATTATTCAATTACTTATTTATTTTCATTCATCAATTATTTAGGTTTATTAATTATTATTTATTGTTATGTTGTCAGTGGATATTAATTATTTAAATTGTTTAAGCATTTGGAGTATGGCATAGTCTAATTGAGCAATTTGACACAATTTAGTCAATGTTTAGAAACATGATACAATATGTCTTATATAGATTGAATTACTTGAATTATAATTTGTGTTTTGTGAAGTTTTTGTGCTTTGTTTGGTGTGGAATTGGGGATGAAGTGGGTCACCTATGGGTTTGTGAAGGAACGTCGATAAGATGATCTGGTATTATGATATTATGGAAAAGTTAGGAACACGTAGTTCGGGGGAGAAAATGGAGAGTTTCAAGCCCCCCTGTTGCACTAGGCGTAGGAGATGGTATACAGAGTAACAAGGTGGGTCTCGTTATGGGCTCGCACCTGATAATCTAGAATTTGTATCACAGCCGCAGGGTGGAGCCTCACTTGTTGTGAGCGCTGATGATCTAGATTGATGGAGACGATTACAATGTTGGTATGAAAAAGAAAAAACGAAATGGAAAGAACATAACCGGTCAGAATGGGAGATGGCTCCTAAGTGGCATCTGAAAATAGGAAGATCGGCTATACGGGATATAATATTTCACGTGAATTGATTATATTAAGATGTTATGACTTAGTGAGTTGCTGGTGATATACCATTTGTGTGACTGATATACTGAGGATTGAATATGTTTTAAAACTATTTGTGTGACTGTGTGTTTGTGCAAATAATTATTATTCTAGAAAATTCACGAATTGTCTGGTTTTTTTTTCAGGAAAGTAGCTTTCCTCTTAATTCGGTTTAACTATTGTTTCTTCGCCGGCAGGGCTTATTAAGGAAGTTTCTAGATTCATAATAGTATTTTGGGCTATGTTAACGTATATGTATAAATATGTATAAGTTAGATGACTCCGCGTTGTGAGAATTTACATACATACTAAGTCGTGTAATAATACAGATGAAAAGTCATTCTGTTAGCGCAAAAAAATGTTGTTATAAGAGAGATGGGGCGTAGGAATGTTGGAATGTTGAAATGATAAATTATGACCGAAAGAGGATATCAGTAAATTTGAAGGTATAAATTTTTCCGAGGTATAATAAAATTTTGAGGTATATTTTTCATATTAATATAGGCTGAATGTTTGAAATTTATATTGAGATAATAGATTTTAGTGATTCAGGCTTATTACGGGCCTCAGGGGCCTTAAGCTTACCTGGGCCCTAGTGCCGGTCTAGCCCATGGAAACGGGTCGTGATAAAATAATAGTATATTTGTAACTAAAGAGTTTACCTCTCTGCTAATGTTTTTTCATTTATTTTCCTTTTTTCATCATCTCTGTTGTTATAAAAATGTATTATGTATTGTCAGACTCTTCAACATTATCCAGGGTAGTACAATCCAACTGCACACATGGGGGAAATGGTATATTATCTCATCATGTAAAGTTCTCAAGGTCATAACACTTTCTAAAGGATAGTAAATGGATTGAACATTAGAGGACAAATTAGAAGGTAGGAGTTGTGATCAAACATATGTAATGAAGTCATGGAAGAGAAACTTTTTTTTTTCCCTGGCAATTTGATATGAAAAACTTAGATTTGAACTGCTATTATATATATGAGGCCATTTGTGAAGGAGTTAAGGAGACCGTTCAAATTGTCAAAAAATTGACTCCAAAATCAAATTTCTTCATATTTGATTATCAAATAGATGTGTAGTAAACTCTATACTAGTTATATCTATAAATATCTGTAATTTCTCATTCTGAAAAATCAATAAACACCTAAACTTTTCATGGATCAATGCATTACCATGCTCAAACGAGTTTAGATCCAAATTACAGGCACATACTCCACCTCAAAAAAAGTTTATCATCATTCCTATTGAATTCAAAAATACTCTCATTTCCATCAATGTTGCAACTCAACTTCTACTCAAGTTTACCTCCATTAATTACCCTTCATGGCATGCTCAATTTCTTACTCTCCTTATTGGTCTTGACCTAACTGGATATATTGATGGCACTTTTTCTTGTCCTTCATCTACCATAGAAATTGAAGCAACCAACAAATTCAATCCAGCCTATACCATTTAGCTTCGTCAAGACAATCTACTTCTTCATACAATTTTGGCTTTAGTTTTTGATTCTTTAATCTCTTTAATTGCAATATCATGCATAGCAAAAGAAGCTTGGAATAAGTTAATCAAACTCTACATTAACAAGTCTCGATCTCGTGTAATGCATCTTAAAGAAAAATTATTCTTTGCTCATGGTTCCAAACCCCTTTCTGATTATCTCCAATCCATCAAATCCAGTTGGTGAACTTACCGTTATAAACACCTCTTTCAAATGATGATATCAGCATTCATGTCTTGAATGGTGTAGGTTCTGAATTCAAAGATTAACCTCAACCATTTCAGCATGTGAATCCCCCATCTCTTTTAAATAACTTCATGAAAAGCTTTATTAATTTTGATATTTTTCTTGAGAAACACAACAACTTAGATAATTGACTCATTAACGCTAATATGACTGAGCCTACCAACCAGCAACAATGCCCACAATCCAATTTTGAACCACGACATGACAATTTTACCATACCCAACAACACCAGCAATTACTCTCGGCCAAAGGGACAGTCATCACGTCTGTTCCAACCTCTGACAACTTGCTTGAGGCCAAGCCCATATAGTTCTTGTACAATGTCTCTTAAAACTTCTCTAGTGATATGTGGAGCTAGTGGAGTTGTGAGATCTTGCCCGAGCATCATTCCAATTAAAGAAATTAAAATGTTCAATTGGACTAGAACTACACGGAAAAAGCTTGTTTAATCGAATTTTCTTTTTTACAAAAGAGTCGCCACCTTCGTTTAATTATTAAAGAAAAACTTATAGAAAATCCAATTTGCCAAAAAAAAATTGTCAAATGGAAAAGTACACTAACTCGAAACCTAAGAATATTTGGGGACTAGATTTTTGGTTTAAGGCAATAAATTGTTTGGCTTAAAACTAAAACGAGAATTATGTGAAAACGATTTTTATGAATAATTAATATAATTTATGAACATATAAATAATGCATGAGCACATAAAAAAAATATTATAAACAAAATCAACAATATTTCATGCACACAAACAAAGCAATTAAATAAATCAAATAAAAATGGGGAGTATTATATCTAGCCTCTCAATAAGATTCTAGAATAATCACACATCTCTTAATAGCAAAAATAAAGCAAAAATAAAATCGGAATTAATTAGCGATCATGCTTAAAATAATTAAGGAATATCAACTCTATCCCCTTTTGTGGAGATTTTAGATTGATAACACTTCTCCTAATGACAACAATAACAATAATCACCAAAATAATAAAAAGATGGTAAAAAAGGAGAAGGGGGAGTTCATGATTGATTTTTGATTTGTAATTAAGAGATATATCTCCAAATCTTCATGCATATCCTTTAGATCCTCATTCAAATTGAAAATCAGAACCATGCAGTTCTGTGGTTGATTTTAGCCTTAATTGATTATATTTTCACAAGTTAGATTTGTGAAGAATAAGCAAAAGAAGATAGATTTAGGGTTTATTCAAGAAATCATACATTCACATTTGTAACTTCAAGGACTGCTTGAACAATATGGCAGAATCTCAATTCCGTCTTCATTCATAAAGGTGGGTCAAAAGAATTAATTTGGAAGTAAGAAATTAATTGATTTAACAAATATTAATTATTTAGGAAGCCAAAAATCTTCATTCATAAAGGTGGGTCAAAAGAATTAATTTGGAAGTAAGAAATTAATTGATTTAACAAATATTAATTATTTAGGAAGCCAAAAATAAAATTAATTTAGGAATTAATTACTTAATTAATTAATTAAGGGTGGTGAAAGCCTTATTAATTTAAAGAAAATTAATTAGAAAAAGGAAAACTTAGATTGCAAAAAAGATTGCAAATAGAGAGAAGGAGAGATTTTCAAGTGTCAAGATAGCTAGAAAATTAAAGTATGTGAGAATGAGGCATAAAGGGGGAAATGGGGTCAAATTTGTCAAAATACTGAGTCAAAATGTAGTCCAATGAGAAAGTGACATGTGGGGAGCATTTGGCAAGTTACACTTTGGTCCCTGACAAATCACACTTCGGTTCTAAAAATACGATTTGATCACTAAAATATCTAAAAGTTTGAATTAAGTCCCAAAAACTTCAATTAAATCCTAAAATGCAATTTTTCTAGAATTTGACTTTCTAATTTTCTGATTAGAGTTTTGAGACTTCATTGTTGTTAAGTCGGATAGTTTCTAACGTCATTTGAATTATTTAAAAATACTTACCGTTATGATCAAAATAATGAACAAATGTCACTTTTAATTTTTTAGGATTTATTCTAATTCCTGACCGATTAAATATTAATTTGAACTGCACATTTTTTAATTTCTTTCTAATATTATAATGGTATAAAAGTACATGCTCACAGGAGTATGGTCACGTGCAACTTGTTGACTGAGGAAGTAGAAACTATTGGTGAGACGTAGGGAACGAAAGGGAAGACAACTGCTCTAAGGCCTGATTGCCTCCAAACCTATTGTTACCTATGGAACTTGAGACATTCAATGCACTTCAGCTTCATACACACTAAGGTGAGTTACAGGATTTGTGTTGTTATTTATGGATTTGAGGTAAAACCTAGGGCCATTAGTAGGGTCATTGGATTAAAGCGATGACCTCTGTCGGCGTGTCAGCCGCTCTTCCCTCCTACGAGAAGGTTAGTACCTCTCTTCAGCATGAGAAAAACTATTGCCTCTGAGGGACTTTGAGGCAACTGCCCCTGAATTTTTTATTGTTTCTTGACATAGAATCAGTTTCTTCATTACTAGGGATATACTTGTTGAAAATGGATGCATAGAGAATTGTTGGATATTAGATTTCTCCAATATGGCTTTTTATCATTGAAGTGAAACACTCTAATGTTGTCTTGTCTCTCGTCTCCCTCTGGTTCACCAAGATTTTTCTCAAAACTTCAGTGATAGAGAAAGTATTAGTTTCATAAAGAGTTAATACAGTAACCATCTTACCTTGCTCCTAGTTTGGAACATCAACAGTGAAATGAAAAATATCATGCCCAACAATATAAATCTCATTCAAGGTCAAGATCAAGATCAAGATTTCTCCTTGGCAAAAAGTAGTTCTAGATTATCTTAAAATGATTAATCATACACAATGAGGTTAAAAATATGATCTAAGGATCCAAATTAAACCGTATCGAGGAGCTAACACACCAATTTCTGCCCTACTATTTTCTACAACATTTTCATTGCTCACGTAAAACACTGGATACAGGGAGTACAAAGGCAAAACATGAGTTCAACTATTCTCATGGAATTACCTTACCTTTCTGCAAATACTGCAGCACACGAAACAGGAAGCTAAATGACCCTAGTTGAAAGACATGAGAATGCAGACATCGGTCACTCTACACGAATATCACTTCAAACTTTGCACATGGATTGATTTCCAAGTGGTTCTGGAAATCAGCATCCCCGAATTTGAATGTATATAAAGCTTGCCTCTGCGTCATGCCTACAGGATATATTCTGTAGACTTTATAGTCATCTCCTCCTCTTATGCTTTGAGGTCTTTCCTCCTTCCAAATGGGTACATGTTTCATGGCCTTGAACTTCTTGTGCACTTCAGACTCCAGGGCATTTAGGGTCAAATTCCCAGACCTGCACACCATAGTTCTTATTAATTAATGCTTTCATAAAACAGAAGCATCCACCATCTCAACACTAGAGTGATATAAACTCATTAAACTCCATTAACCACAATGTCATGTCTACTGTACCAATCTAGACAGCAGAGGAGAAAAAACGTAAAACAGAAACACCAGCAATGACAAAGAGGCAGCAAAACTAATCAAAAGAAAACATTTAAGTACCCACATCATAGAATGAAGCAGATGCAATAGTGACTTCGGACTTGCCTAGTTTTCTTTTATGGAAAATCTATTTTAGAGTCCTTAAACATATCACGTTTTGTCTATTGGGCCCCTGAACTTTTATTTCCCTACATTGAGCCATCTACCCTTGTTTTTTTTTTTAACATTGGGTCCTATAAGTTACCAGAAATCTAATAATGGTAATTTACAAATTACTATATAAACTTGCATCGTCTTTCAAACATTTTGAGAAGCTCAAGACACTGAAATGAGTTTTTTTTATGGCTTCAATAATTTCCGTAGTGCAAAAGTAGAACAATGTTTTTGAGTGTTTATAACCGTTGTTTAAGAATTTCTAATCAATTATTATTTTTGCACATTTAATTTTTCTTTAATGACCCTCAATGTGGGGAGAAAATAAAAGTGTGAAGGTTCAATTTGGAGAAATGAATATGAGGATCTAATGGACAAAACACGAAAAAGTTTAAGAGTCATAGAATGTTTTTGTTTTTCTTCTTTTACCATTTAATAATAACTTTATTTATCAAGGACATGCACATCTGCCAAAGCACATGTATACACAAATATGATGCAATTTTTTGATTCTGATACTAGTGACACCAATGAGATTACCTCAAGAAAATGGAAACCATCTCAAACCTTCCTCTTTCTCTTACATATAAATGATACACAGTCACTGGCCCTCTGGTGCACTTGCAGGGGCGTTTCTTAAATCCTGGGCTATGTTCTTCTTTCTCCCGAATCATAGTTGCCAAGTGAATGCAAAGACGACAGGATGAGTGTACAGCTGCCATATCAACTAGAGCCTTGAAAGAATCAGAGGGGCCCTCATACTTCCACCTGATTAATGGACATATCTTCATAAGGGAAAATTGGAAAATAACAAATAATATCTCCACAACATAAACCCCAAAGATAGTAATTCCAATTAAATCAACCATCGGATCATATCAGAATTTTTTCTGATCACACTGAATTCTACCTTAATGATCGATTATATGCATCAGGATTTTCCGCAAGGTATTTCATAGATTTCGCAACCGAATCAACATCTTCTAGCTTCCCAATATGTAAAACCGAATCAGGTGCAGGAGCAAAATCTTGAATATTTGGAGCACCAATAACCACAGGAATAGTACCTGAAATGATTTTGATTGCCATTTCAGTTATCTCTTGATCTTTTAAAAATTCACAATGTTCTTAAGCATCTCATTAACTCTATCCCATTCATTCCATACATCATATCCTGCTTGGGAGAAATTATACATATTTCAAACAAATATTTATAAACCTGTAAAGTGAAAACTAAAGAATGTGCTAAAATTGATTAAGCAGAACTTGTAATTCTCACATTTAACAAAACTATATGGCATAAATGTGGGTGGGGTGTGAGACAGAGAGAGAGAGGTAGTTCTCATACCAGCAACAAGAGATTGGAAGAATTTTTCAGTAACATAATCCTCCTCATTTGAGTTCTCAAAAGCCAAGCTAAATTTATAGTGTTTCAAAGTCTCTAATTTGTCCACTGCAAAAGAGGTACTGTATTATCATGTGTAAATCCAGCAAAACAAATATACAAAATATAAATGATGCTATATGGTATCATTATCAAAATTAAGGAATTAACTTATAATATCTTGAACATCACTTGTTTTATGTCATATAGAAAAACAGAAATCCCAAGGAACAGCATATCCAAAGGTGGCCAAGTCGCACATCAAGGCATAACCTAGTAGCAAGTGTATGTACGACCTGGTAATAGATCCAGGTTCAAATTCCTCTCCTAATACTCAAAAAAAAAAAAAAAAAAAATAGCAAAAACAGAAATTCCCAAGGAACAAGCATATCAAAAGTGGCCAAGTCGCACATCAAGGCATAACTAGTAGCAAGTGTGATGTACGACCTGGTAATGAGATCCCAGGTTAAAATGTTCTCTTAATACTCAAAAAAAAAACAAAAAGGTGCGCAAGTGATCTTGGATCAGCTTTTGGTTTTCGCAAGCTTAAGGCAAAAAAAAAAAAAAAAAAAAGGTGGCCAAGTCGATCTGGATCACTTTTGTATCCAAGGCTTAAGGAAAAATAATATTTTTATACCCAAGACATCCATAGGATAGATTTGCAGAGATACAAGTGTCAAATCAAGAAAATGCATTCTTATGAAGAGTAAACAGCTACTCATTGATTCCATAATTGAAACCAAGATTGTCTATCCATATGCACAATAGATTGGTGACTGCAGATGATACAGAATATTAAGCAAATCCAAGTTACACAAATTATGTGAAATATGAAATATATGGTAGCAGTTTAGACCTTCTAAGAAGTTGTCAAAGAACCAATCAGAATACTTGTAGTTCTAGAAGGAGAAATGGATAACAGATGATTGAATGCAGCAGGGAAGGAGAAGAATGATAAAATTATAATAAATAACTATTTTTTGAAAAAAAGTGAAGGACATTAAGTCCTCATATGACAAACAAGAATAAGAAACCATCCGATAGCCCACTATATCTAACCAACAAAATGTCAACCAAACCTCTAAGGCACATGCCTATGAACATGGAAAAGCACTGGAGAGATAAAGCCAACTTGTTGGCTGCCTGAGGTACAAATATCATGTACTCTAGTACACTTCTGCTTTGAGAAATTTGATGTGATGCTATTTACTTTTGAAAAATGAAACTTTTATCCATCACATTACAAGTTAAATATGGCATAGATCATTCACACCAATTACCTAGCAGAGAAGATTCGTAGTCCAATAGCAAGGAAAACTCACTAGTCTAACGTGCAAATGTGAATAAAACTCCATCTTTAGCAAAGAGAATATGCAGCATAGTGATGTGCACAGGACTATGGGAATTCTGACCCATCCCTGAAAATTCCCGTATTTTCTGTCCAAAGAAAAACCCAATATTAATTTAATAGTCTTATCTCATATTCTGTCTTGAAAGTAATTTTGGAACAGGATTAGTTCTTTGATTAGAACCAATCTGTATAGACCCAAATTTTGTCCCATCCCGAAAATAAGGTAATTCTCGTCTCATTTTTTTTCTAAAATTCTAGGTGTATCCTATCTTCAAAGTAATTTTGGAACGGGATTGGTTCTTTGGTTAGAACCGATTTGTACTAACCCAAATTTTGTCTCATCCCAAAAATGGGGTAATTCCCATCTCATTTTTTTCTAAAGTTCTAGGGGATATCTCTCTCCTTTTTTTTATGAATTTCAAATCATGTCCATGAAAATCACTTTCATTCTTTTTATTTATTTTTTTTTATGACACTAATCATGCTAAGCTAATAATAATATAAAATAAATAAATGTGGTTAGCTAATAATAATATAAAAAAAATAAACGTGGTTTTTCTAAATATAAAATGGATCAATTAATTAAATAAAATTTTTCAACATAGATTTATCTCTATTTTTCTTTTATATTTGATAATTAAATCTTTCTAAATAAATGTTTGTTACATAAAAAAATGGAAAGATTAGTCCATATAAAAGAAAACATTAACTATAATCTAACGACTAGTTATGCATAATGCTCTTATTTTATTTTTAAGATGACATTGTGGATTATATCGGGTATCAAAATTTGAACCAGCTTAAAAATAATAGTAACAAAAACAATAAAAGTTAAAATTCATAAGACTTATATAAAACTAAATTGTATTGAGTCTTAGAATTATTTTGTTTTATCATTCTTGATGCATTTATTAACTAGAAAGTAACAATTAATAAATCTTCTATTATGGTTTTAGTAGTAGATCAATAATTGAATCATTTGGCTTTATTCATTTTTTATTCACATTTCTGTTACTGAATTTTGTTTGATTGTAATTGATAATCAATGCAATTTTATATTTTTGGTACAAAAAAACAATTTAATATCCTGATTGATTCTAGACTGGCCCATTCCGTTCCATCTCATAGACCCAAATTCTCGTCCAGTCCGTTCCAAACAATGGGACGAAATGGTACAGGACCACATACCTATTGGGGCAGGACCAGAATTCCATTCTTTAATTCCCGATAGATTGGGACAGCAATGGGAATTATGTAAGTCCAAGACTCAGAGCCAGAAACTAAATGGATTTTTTCATTCTAAGCATCAAAAGAACATGAAATATATCAGTTTCATCCTTTCCAAATATTTTCACATACGATAACCAACAGATGCACATTTGTCCAAGAACCATCACTTTGTTTGCCTACTCACAAGGTTGAAACTTTCAAGTAACAAATGGAAACTATAATATGCGGGCATAGTTACAGCCCCTCACCACATTTATAGCAATATAACAAATTAACAATGAACAGCCAATATTGGCAATCAGATCAGCACTTCAAGGCAAGTTGTTACAGATAAAACTAAAGTTTGGGTAGCAGGATGGGGAATGTTGTGAACTGAGACAGCAATTTAAGTATATGCCTATGCAAAAGATAAAACTAAAGAAGGAAGACACGCTAACCTCTTCCATCACGATTCCGATGGCAACTACCATAAGAATCTATAGAGACTTTTGCCTTTTCAAGTGCCTCAAGAGCTTGCAAGCGGAAGTTGCGTGCACCACAGTTAGATATGAAAGCAGCTGCAAGTGCTTTTTCAGTCTTTGGTTGCAGTGTTGCCATGATATCATACTCAGCCCAGGAAAAATATCCGACTGGCACATCTGATGAGAGACTAGTTGTCATCACAACTTTGTAACCCCTCCTATTCCGAAAGAAAATTCAAAACATCAATTTTCCTCCAACTTTACATGAAAATTAATGTATCAGTTTCCTAAGCAGGGAAAGATTCTAGTCCGTGCATATTTAACAGAAAAGAACAGAAATGCAAACAAGAATAATGGCATATTAGTTATTTTCAACTTCTGGGTAAATATGCAGATATGTTGCACTAGAGAACTAGCATTCCAGACAGTAAGTTCCTGTGGAAAAACAGATTATCAATTCATTATGGATCCCAAGTCTTCTTCATGATGGTCAGTCAAGGGCCAGTGCCTTATGGTACTGTAAAAGTAATCCTGCATTTTAAGCATTCTTTAGACACATATCATACATTCTTGATGTACTCTACTACCGTCTCCTCTATATTTCATAGATCAAGCAGAGAAGAAAAACTTCAAACAAAACAAAAAAAAAAAAAATCAAAATTCTAATATTATTTTCATTGCATTTCCAAAATCTTTTTGGGTCCATAACAAATGAAAATAATCTGACACCATGCAAATAATCCTATCTTTACATTGATACTTTAGTTTGTCCTAGTAAATTTTACACACATTTTAACTAAATAGTTGGGCTAAATTCAGAACAGTGTTCCCGAAATTAATGATCCAACTCTTTCCACGCCACAACAGAGATTGTGATTCATTTGCAACTACAACTACTGAACTTTAGAGGAGTTTATCTAAGTACACGGCAATTTTGATTATTATTATTATGCTTATTTGACTACAGAGTCATGGTTCTGGTTTCTCAGTTACAAGAACAAATAAGACAGAACAGATAGCTGAGTACCCATCTTTTTTCCTCAAACAATGTACATTGACATGTAACTCTTTTCATTATATATATATATATATATCCTGAATTAAAGTGAACTTTAATGCCAGTGATTCATACAGCAAGCAGCTTGCAAGGATATAAGAACTCTGGACAGAGACAACATTTTTTTCAGAATGCAATCAAGTTTCTTTCTTATTGATTGTGCTTACCCACCGTCGTGCCTGAGCTAGATTGTTCTCATAATAATAGGAAGCCGATTCCATTGATCGGAGCACACTTGGTATTCCACCTTCACCAGGTGAGCCAAAAACAGCATCAGCAGGTTTACTGGGTTCAAAGATAAAATGGCAGCCCACAGCACAAGTCCTCCTTTCCTGCATGGAATTGTCCACAAGCACATAAAATAAATACTGAAAAATCAATAAATTTTTGGATAATTTTCAAGATTTCATTCAAAAGTTAGGCTTGTACATATCATTAAAGCATGAGAAAGAATTGGTAAAATATCACCTGAAAAATTAATAGGAGAATAATATGAGTAGTGGAGGACACCATTATCCTTTAAAAGATTAAAATCATAATATGAATAAGCAAGGTGAAAGGTCTTGCGAGGATCAATTTTTCTCTCCCTCTTCTGAAAAACTAATTCATGGAGTTACAATTTTATGTATAAGAGAAGATAGGTTTAAAATCTTCAAGGCATACATGAGCTAAACAATGTCAACCACAAGCTTATCAATCTTTCATGTATGAAGCATTCCTAATGTGCTAAGGGGCAAATGAAGTTTAAAATCAGGCCCCCAGTATAGTCAACCTCTACTCTGAGAAATGGAGCACACTAGTAAAATTAGCAGGAAGCCAAAATTCCCTTAGCATAAGTTGAGCTAATAATTTTATAACTTAAGAATTAGGCAATTCTATCAACAGAATTTCCACTTTCTTCTTGCTCCAAATCCATCTTTTCAGGCACAGTAAAAACAAGAACAATGTGTGAAGAAAGAACCATTCAATGGAAAGATCAACACAACTAAACCTTGACGCCAAAAAAAAAAAAAAAAAAATAAGCATAAGTTGAGCTATATTAATGGGTGGTATAACTTAAGAATTAGGCAATTCCTATCACAGAATTTCCACTTTCTTCTTGCTCCAAATCATCTTTTCAGGCACAGTAAAACAAGACAATGTGTTGGGGAGGAGAAAGAACATTCAATGGCAAGAGATCAGACACAACTAAATCCTTGACGGACAAAAAAAAAAAAAAAAAAAACACGTGGCTGGCAGCATAAAGTGTGCCTCACTTCCATTGACTAGCGTCGTAGAGTGTTCGTTGCCGCATTAATGAGGAGATCGCGTATATCGACTTACCCCCTAGTTCATAAAATCATGAGTAGGAGTAAACCCATTTATAGAATATATGTCAAGACTAAATACTTTTCAGCTACAAAAAGAGATATAGCTGTATGATCATACAAAATACAAAAAAAAAAAAAAAAAAAACGTGGCTGGCTACATAAATTGCCTCACTCCATTGCTGCCTCTAGAGTCAATAATCAGATAACCAAAAATATTGTCAAGACTAAATCTTTTCAGCTACAAAGAGTTAGCTGTATGATCATACAAATACAAAGATCTAACAGACAGCTAACCGTAAATGAGCAGCTCAAAGTATGCTCTACCAAACAAATAGAATGGTTTAGTTCGATGTGTCCATTCTGTCAAGTTCCGTTCTACCAAGGAACAAAACGGAGAACTTATACAAATTCCTTCATGCCATATAATTATCAACCAAATTCATGTAAATAGTCCTTAATCCTTAAAACTAATTGGAAATTGTTTTTCTCTGATTATCTAGTGTTAATAATAGTTGAGAAGAGTCTTGGAAATGAAAGTATCAATACGGGATTGGTCTTAATATTTTCACTGGTCTATAAACCGAACAAAGCTAACCATACAAAAGGCAAGCTGGAAACACAATCCTAATTAGTCATACAAAGAAACTCGAACTAAAAACAAACCAAAAATCAAAAACAGCTGTAAAAAACCTGCTCAGCACCCATCACCAAGATGGGATCTTTATCAAAATCCCTTGAGTAAACGACAGTATCTTGTTTCTCTAACCACTCTTCACAACTGTCCGATTCCAAATTGCTTTCATTATTTTGAACATTAACCAAATCCTTCTGTCTAAAATCCTCACTCTCCAATGCCAAACCTGAATCATGCGACCTAGAAAACAATCTATCAGTCCAATCCATTAAAGCTGCATTGTTAGCCATATCAAGACGACCCAAAAAGGCGATCTCTGCTGTAACCACAAGAACAACAAAAACTGGCAAAAAATTAGACCATTTTTTCTTAGGAACCGAAGCTGAAGAAGCAGATGGAGATGTTAACCCATCTGGTATAGGTAATCCAACTTCTTGGTTTATAGTTCCAGTTCTTGACCCTCTTAAATTTGACAAAACACCCATCAAGATAAACTCTACTTTTTCCTAATCACTTCTCTTTCTCGGGAAAATTGGGCGAGAAAGAGAAAGGAAATGAGAGAAAATTTTAATAAAAATGTAGAATCTGTTGAATTGAGTTTAGATTAAATATGTTAGTGAACCATTTTTTGGATTATAAAGAGAAAAAGAAGAGAATGGTTGGTTGGGGTTTTTGAGGTATTGTGGTTTTATAAAAGAAGAAGATAGTTTGATTAGTTAGAGAGACTTTCCTTTTGGAGTTATATACAGAGTCAATGGAGGAAAAGGAAAAATATCCAAAATTTGTTTTTTTTTAAATGAAAATATTCAAAATTTAAAGCACAACAAGCTTTGTTTTTGTGAGCAATGCTTTCTGTGCACAGTGTAAATCTAAATGATACTCCCTTTGTCATTTCATGTGTGTTAAGACTTAGAAAATCATTTAATAGATATAAATTATAATAAATTATCGAGTAAATTGATTATATTATTTGTAGCATGTCTGAGTTGTAATAAATTATTGAGTAACTAACAGAAAAAATAATTTATTATTTGTGAAGTCAACGAATGTGACAAGGATTTGAGAAATTGGGAATTAAGTATACATGGAATGCAGGAGAATAAATTTATTTAATTGCAGACATAATTTGTTTATAAATAAATCTTTACATTTAATATGAAAATTGTATTTTTCAAAAACAATTTTTCTGAAAATTATTTCCTCAACTTTTCCACGTTTATGATGCATAGAACATTGATAAATTTGAAATTTATTATATTTTTATATTATTGGTAGCCGCCATTAGATCACCAATTACCACCAACCTATTAATTCAACAACTGCTACTAATATAGAGACCACAAATGCAGTTAAGCCTTCCTGCTCAATTTTTATTACTTGAACAAACTATTTTCTCCTATTAACTGATTAAAGATCGAATCCATGATTTAAACCATCATGATCAATCTCTCAAGTGTTTTTATCATTGAACTAACCGTAATCGGATTATTTTGTATCGATGAATTTAAAGATGTAAAATGTTTTAAAAGTATATAAAATTTATTATCTAATAGAAAAATAATAATAAATAAAATATGCCCCTAAATAAAACTCATTTTTAACAAAGAAATTTCTTACTTAAACCAACAACATAATATAAATTTGAAAATATATAACATATAAAATATTTAATTTTTTAATTTCTTTTTATGAAAAAGTAACGCAATCTATATCTATATATATAATCCTGAATAAAAAAAATTTTCAAAAACCTTACTTGTTCACTCTCTCCTTTGAGTATTTCCTTTTTTCTTGTTTCACAAATTTTCTAAATTTTTAATTAATTTTTAAACATTTCTTTTCCTATATCCAATTTAATATATATCTATATCTAAAATTTTAAATTTTAATATATATCTATATCTAAATTTTAAATATTTGATTCTTTAATTTTTGAATTTTGAAATTGAAACTTTTAACAACCTTTGAATTTTTTTTTCTTATATATAAACACCTATAACTATTGTAATATATACCTTCATATTAATCAGTTCGCAGTTTATTTCTTTATGGTAGTTTTTTTTTTTTTTTTTTTTGCTGTTTTTCGATTATCGGAGTTTTGATTGTGTTTTCTTTATTTATTTTATATCATTGCCTTTCTTCTTTGATTAATGTAATGTTAACTCTTTATTCTCTTTTTTTTCTTCTTTATGATCTTCTTTTCTTGTGCATCCCGTGATTTCTCTTATCTTTAATCTTTATTTACTTAATAATATTTTCTTTGTCGTCTAGCATATGTGTCGTATATGTGTAGTTGTACGTATGAGAAATATCATGTTGATGGAGATGAATGGAAAGAAAAGCTAAATATAAATTGATTTATGTATTTTTTTTAACATGTATTATATTTTTAGTAAATTGTATAAAACTGTAAATTTTTTAATTTATTACTTCATATTCATCTATATATATATATATATTATATATATATATATAGTATATATATATATATAAATATAATATATATATTATAATTATAGATTGAATTATGAAAGTAATAAATTTAAAATTTACATTTTATACAATTTATTTAAATCTAATTTAAATCTAAAATCATATATAATACAACTGTCCGATTTAATTCATTTATAATAATATGTATGTATTGCATTTTAAAGTACGATACGTGGCATTGTTATACCAAGAAGATGACTAATAAATAGCCCTTTGAACCAGTAACCCGCACTTCTGGGTTTCCAACCGATATATCAATACTTATAATTTATAAATCAATTTGTAAATATATATAGATATATAATAAACATGCAAAACAAGTTTCTGATGTGGAAGATCAGACTAGGCTGCATCCACAGAGCATACTTATAAGCAACAGGCAACACAATAAATAATTTATTTAATATTTATCAATCAACTCAACCAAAGGGAGCGGAGGTGTAGAATCGGAGAGGGTGGTACTGGAGCAGGTCACTGTGATCTGTCGTAGCAAATGCCCGTGTATATATAGTTATATATAATTATAGTATAGTATATATATAAACATGCAAACACCAATTTCTGATGTGGAAGATCAGGACTAGGCCTAGCATCGCACAAGAAGCATACCTTATAAGCAACAGACAACAGCAATAAACAATTACTTTAATTTTATTTCAATTAATACAACCAGTTTATGAATAAATTTTAATTTTACAAATTAACGGTTGAGGGTTTCCTGCAACCTTAGCCTGCGGTCATTCCTAGAACTAAAGTCAGGAGTGTGGAGGAGAAGAGAGAGTGCCGTAAATCACGGCGACTTAGAAATATGCAGTTTATATAAATTTAAACAAACAATTTTATTTAAATACAAATATTAAAATACGATTTATACTTACAAGTATGTTGTTTTACAAACAGACTTTGAACTTGGAATGCTTACAAAAGAACTTGAGAATGGAGAGAGGAATAGGAGAGTTGAGAGTATTACAATGTTATACTTAAGTTAGCCCCCCTTTCCACAAAAGAATAGGCTCCCTTTAAATAGAAACAAAAGAATCTTTTACTATTTAACTTTTACTATTCATGAATAGTATTTGGTCTGCCACCGAATCTTGAACAGTGTTGACTTTTTACTGTAGATGAACAGTGAACAGTGGGATGTCTGCCAAGAATCTTGACTTACTGTTGACTTTTTACTGTAGATGACAGTGGGTTGTCTGCCACCGAATCCTTGACTTTTAGTCTGTTGAAATAGTACTTTGGCTTTTCCTGTAGAAACAGGTAGTTTGGCCTTTACTGTTGGATGGTGAAAATAAGGTTCCACCTGCCTGTTTTATATGGAGTCCGACAAGATGAGGATAATGATAATCTTTCTTTACTTTTCCTTTTTAATCTTGTCGGCTTTTCTTTTCTTTTTCTTATTTTTCTTTTTCTTTCTTTTTTCTTTAGCCTTTAGCTTTACTTTTAATTTTTAACCAATAGATAAGGATTCATCACTATCTTCAGAGGAGAGTTGGGAGGTATCCGAGAAGAATATTTTACCTTTGCCTTTATGAGCTGTCTCGGTCGATGATTGACTTGAAGACGCTGCTTGAATTTTACTGGATGAAAGTTTTACCTGTGGATCTGAACTGGTAGAAAGTAATTGGAACATTTCTTCACAGATCAGTTTATACTCCTCAGGAGTTTTTGCTGTAGCTAACCTGGCTTGACACTTAGCTTTTTGAATCCTAAAATCAGGGTTTTCTGGTAAAGCAAGTGTTTTAGCATAAGTTAAGGTTTTAAGGGATGATGAACTGCCTTTTTACTGGTGATCCATTGACTGATTTTAAGTTGGGTAGTGGAGTTTTTGAATGATCCCCACCATTTTATCTTGTGACATTTTACTATCATTGTTACTATCATGTGGTATTTGAGTTACAGGAATATACTTGATAATCAAAAAAACATTGGTATACCCATGGTTGAAGAAGGTTAACTGATACGTACATCAACGATGTATATATGGGCTTCTTCAGGAGTAGGTTTATAAATTGGTTTTAAAATAGTGATATAATGAAAGGATTCTGGGGTAAATAATGATCTTCAGAAATTCCTCTTGAGTTGCACCAACTTTGTTAAACACAATGGGGATTTTTAAATCTTTAAACGAATATTTTGGTCAAAAATAAATTAACCAAATGATGGAGTATGAGTTGGGTTTTTGAATACAAAACCCTTTCCCAATGCCTTCTTATAATCAAACGCTATTATAAGTA